CCGCCGGATAAGATAGTAAATCTGGCTCCCCCTCAACCTTGTCTCAAACGTATACCAGAAGAAAGTTTAAAAGCACTGGGAATCTATTTCAGATGAAATAACCCATAGTTTCCTCTTTTCACGTAAAATTAGAAATCTTGTAACTACTAATAAATCAAAATCAATCAAAACTTCGTCGAAATATCAATATGTACTCTATTTTATCCACACTATATCATACAGTTTAATAGAATCTATAAAAATCAAGAGAAAATACTTTTGCTTTTGAAAATGTTGCTTAGAAATCTTCCCAAATAAACGGGCATTTCTTTGATTTCTTTACTACTCTTAAGTAGAGAACAATATGCAGAAGATAATATCGAGTATCTATATCTTAATATTCTGAGGTAGTGCAGACCAATTTTGGCTATTTTGGATTTAGATAGAACGGTAAGCATTTACACCAGTCAGCAACACAACAAATTCTTCAATTTGAAAATAGATGCAAAAACCGCATTTTTCAATATTTCCGGTATATTTTGAGAACGAGTCGTTTTCGACGCTTTCTCGAAAAAGAAGCTGCATTTAAAAGTACTTTATCCTGTAGAATATAATTTGCATTTTCGAATGATTATATATCGTCGAGACAATTTTAATTTTAATTAGATCGTGAAAAATGAATTGTTGGATAATTCTGGAGCGCTGAAAAACGGTGCGCCGTGAGCTTACTAATAACAACTGGATAGATCGATCGTTTAACCCTTCTACGGTTTTCGTGATTCCGACGAGGCCCACAACACTATCTTTCGTTTTTGTCTACTTAAAGATTTATCCTTTTCGGAACCATCTCTCCGCTAATCGTTAGTCTTCTAACGATGCATAAGAGCCATATGAAATTTCGTACAAAAGTCTTACCCGTAAAAAGCTGAAGTGTGGGTCCACATGGACCCCCTGAGAAGGTAGGTGTTATATAGATGATTTTTATTCATACTATATCACCCCTCTATTGTCTCGAGAGTTTATTTACCAAAGATTCGCTACTCAGCACTGCCAATAGTGAATCGTATGCTTTTTTATCTTTGTCTGACGGATTTTGTTATATTTTCGTCGAAATATTTCTGCCATCGTCTTTGGTCATGGTCACGACCCTAGTCGACCGATCTTACGGCAATTCTATAGAAATCCTATAAAAATCTTGTAAGAATCTTATATAAGGCAAATTATAGAAAACAGTTTATTTTTTCAGAATATTACCATGAATTTATTATACATTCGCAGTTAGGGAGCGATTGTACATCAACAATGGTTTTACACACAGAATGACGTTTTCTTGTAACGCGAGATTGAACGGATCATAACTCAGCCAATTCTAGACTAAAACTTTATCGAAAATGCTCGAAACCCCCAGAAGATAATGCTATGATTCTTTTAAAAAGAAAGATTTATTTACTTCCATTTAAAAGATTAAAGTGCTCTGGCGAACTGCGCTTTTTCTGCTGAAAGTAACACGAGATTTTGAAAAGTGTTTTTGTTATATCTTCCAGACAACTCAACCCGTATCCTTCATCTTTTTATCCTTTTTTCATCTTGTTACCCTGAATATGTGATAAAAATTTTACCTTCAAAAGTTCGACTTTTCGAGAGAAAATTTTACTGGCAAAAGGTAACTCGAGATTTTTTTACCCAAAAAACTAACGCGAGATTAAAATATGTGAATCTCTGGAAAAGGTAGACTCAAACATAACTTATTATCCATCATTCGATTCATCGTCAAGAGACCTGTCTACTGGTGTATATTACAAGTCTGTGAACCGGTTTTGACTCCTTATCCGCTGGAAAAGGCAAAAAAATTAAGACTCTACAGCGCCGAATACAATTTACATTATGTCCTTAAACAGCACTTGTTTACTCAAAAGAAAAGAAATGAACAATATATGTTTGATTTAAAAGGTGTTATAAAGCAGTGGCGATGTATTGAGTAACAACAACAGTTATAGAGAGAGAAAAATGTGAATATAGAATCGTTAGATGTGTGTGCGTTTGAAAAGTGATATTTCTGTGCCATGTTTTTACTGCAAGGTGCGCGACATCTCACTCAAGTTTCATATCTATTTTATTTTTTGTTATTTGTACATAGTTCTATAAAGCGTATTAAGCTGATCAAAGATTCTTAGTTCTCAAATTTCATTCCATATTTTAATTTGAAAAAATTAAAACTGCAAGAGTTGAACGTTTTTGCTGGACGGCTAAAAGAAATTCGATACCTTTAATTGCCGATTGTTTTGAAACTTCTCAGAAACCATTTTTTGCGTATTTAGTAGCTAAAACTGAATCTAAAACAACACTTCCAAATTCCAGACGAATAACTGAATCTTTAGCGGCCGACCGAACTGAGAATTGAGCCAATTTTTTTCTGATCCGTCCATATGAAAGAACATATGGCAAAAGCTATAAAAAACTGTTTTGCAAAAGGCTTTTGGCGGTCTTTCGCAGATTTGAAGCGTTCCTCTTAGGCGTTGGAAGTTTCAGTCTTCAAAAACCGTCAAAAACCTTTGAAAACCAGTTTTTTGTAGGTTTTGCCATATGCTCTTTCATATGGACGGATCAGAAAAAAATTTGGCGTCAAAAGGTTTTTGAGTTGCAAAAACGGTTTTCCAGAAACCAGAATCACGTTAAACCATTAGAATGATTATCGTAAAATTTCTAGTTCTTTCCTTCTACTATAGTAGAATTTACTACGAATATCTGCTAATGTAAAATAAGGTCGTCGAAAATGAAAGAAATTGTTGATCGATTAACTGATGTGGATTCAATACTAAAACGAACAGAAGATCGTACTAATACTGAAAATACATCGCCGATCGCAATAAACAGTTAGAAGAAATTGTTCATATCCTTAGTACGTTATATTACATTCATGCTTTGATTTAATTTAGCCTTGCTCATATTCGGATTCAGCATACTCGATTACCTGTTTTTCACTAGCTTTTACGCCAAAAGCGATTTATCAATTGGTGGCCGTTCTTCGTAAGTCAATATAATTAGCTACATCGGTTTTATTTTATTTTGAATTCTTGAAAGAATCGGTAACCAGTTACCGTTCTTTTGAAAAGAACTGTTAACTAGTTCCAATTCAATAGGAACTGAACTGGTTACTAGTTCTTAGGAACTGTCCCGCCCCTGCTTGAATAAAACAGTAAAGAGCTACTGTACAATGGCAAACCGTCGATGGAATGTACAAAACATTGTCGCGTCATTCAGCAAGGTTGGTAGCCTATATTTTTAGTCATTTCAGAATTACTAGCATTTAGAAGAATGCACCAGGTAGGCCGCAGTAAAAACTGATGCCACACAAATACAGAAGATTCACTTGGAATTTTACATATTTTTGCACACATAAATGGCTCCAGTTTTTATGTACAAAACGTTGAGAAGAGCAACTCTCTGTCATTTCTATCCAGAGTCATTGAAAAGCCATTTGATGGCGCTGTGCTTCAAAAACGGATGATTGTTGATTATCAAACACACAACAATATAATCTTGGGTAAAGTTGCAAAAAGAAATATGCGCTGTTGGAGAAATGAAAAAATTGTTTGACGAGATTCCAATGAGTAAACGGGCTATAGTTATGAGTGAGAACATCTAGGAAGGATTTTGTTTGACGGATATCGTAAATGAATAACTGCTTTCTAAATTACCAAAATTAAAATATTTTTCTTGTCATTATTTACATTTAACAGAGTCAAATTCACAAATCCAATTTAATCAACAATTTAGGAACATTCTTCATTTAAAAATACAATTAAAACCTAATATTAAATTTGATCATATTCAATTAGTATTAAAACATTTACCACAATTAAAATATTTAGAATTAATTGCATATGAAAATGAAAGAGGACAATTTATTGATGCTTGTCAATTGGAAGTATTAATAAACACATATTTAAAACAATTAAAAAAATTTAAATTTCTATTTTTTATCTATCGAACACGAAAATTAAATCATGAAATATTAAAACGATTTACAAATGATTTTTGGTTATATGAAAAAAAATAGTGTATTGTCTGTGATTATCATATTTATAATAAATATACATTTCTTTATACTATACCATATATAAATACTCAATTTGATTTAATACTATGCGAAACATTTGAAACAAATTCTACACTACCATTATCGTGTTTATTGAATATTTATATTAATGTTAACAAATTAAAAGTCAGTTTCCATACACCAATACTATCGAATCGTTATTATAAGTAAGAATCATCTTGTTTTTTTATACACTGCTTTTTTTTATGTAACCAGATTGATAATAAAGAAACAAAAGAAAACACACTTTTTTGTGTTTTCCACTGATAGTAAACAATAAGTTGATTTTTTTAAACGCTTTCATAGCATTCCTTTTGTTCTATATTTCAGATAATAAGTTGAAAACATATCTGGAATTATTTCTTTTCGTTACGATGAATGGATATCAGAGTATGTAAATTAATACATTTTCTTTTATAAATGGCCAATAAACAATAAGGCACACCATGGCCTACTATTCAGGGTGTCATTTATTGGTTTCGGAGTTGCTTTTCTCAAAACTTTTTCCTTGCTTTGAGATACTGTATGAGATCTTATTCCTTTGACTTTTAGTTGGATTCTGTAATCAAAGTATTCTGTATCTTTTTACCAACCAATCTTTGTATGAAATGGCACAAACAGAGACCTGAAGCTGTATCTGAAAATCTTAAACTACTTCTATGGAACTGTGAGGGTTTATCGACGCATATTTCAGACTTCGATTCTCTTTTATCTTCTCATTCTCCACACGTTTTCATTTTTACTGGGGTAGGGAAGCAGATGCGTAATTTGCGACCAGTTCCAAACTACAAATGGTTTTCTCAGACTGGTAGTAATAGTTTTGGCGGAGTAGCTATTTTAGTGCATAATAAAATTAAGTGTGCGGTTATTGATAAAAACGTTAACTTTCTTTTGTTAGAAATTGAAATTAAATCAAAAAATCTTCTTAGGAGCCGTTTATATTCTCTCCTGACTGTATACCGCCATTCGATTTGTTCGAGAAGAATAAAGATAAAGAGATTTACATTTTTGGAGATTTTAATTGCAAACACAGTAGGTGGAATCGTGTGAATAGTAACGTAAGTGGCAACAAACTCTGTAAATGGTTCGATGAGAACGGTTTCGATGTAATCCATACCTACTCTCCTACCTCAAAAAAGTCGAACTCAGTTATCGACTTTGGAATTGGAAAAAATACCGAATATTGGAACGTGGAGAGGTTAGTTGAAGGAACGCCGACCATTTCCCCCATTATTTTCTTTTCACCATTCACAGCAGGAGAAGAAGGCATTTTCAGAAACACGAAATGGAAAGTTTTTCATTATTTCTTAAAAGCGGTGTATGTGTACTGGAATTCTTTAGTATATAATTTAGATTATAATACTTTTTTCAATCTTTTTTCTAATTTTATATCGAGTTTAAGTGATCATTGTAGCGATTTTGAATCTATTAAGAAGTTTAGACCTCCATGGCCTCCTTACTTAGTTGTACTCACTAGAGATGTGAACAAAGTAAAACGAAAGTTTAGGAGAAAAAGACTTTTAGAAGATGATAATCATTTTAAATTTTTGGAGAGAAATTATATCAGTGAAAAGATAAAGTTTGAACACGAAAAAAGACAATTAAAATTAATAAATATGAAAGAAGGCAGAACATCTGGAGCCATGTTAACCCTTTACCCCCCCTTGGTCACTGGAGTGACCATTTGTAGATCGTAACTGCACAGTGGAAAAAACTCGCGTCCAAAAAATCACTGGACAGTGTAGAAACTTCGGCGTTGCTACTTAAACAACTTCCTAGTGAATATTTACAGACAATAACTGTTCTTTTTAATAAATGTGGTGAGTCAGAAGATTTTTTTGAGAAAGGCAAAGTAGCTAAAGGCATTTGTCTCTCTAAGGACGGTGCATTCCCAACAAAGGACCGTCTTCGTTCTATCTCTTTACTTCTGAACCTAGCTAACGTTTTCGAGCGAGTTATAGCAACGAGAATTGAAAAATGGTGTGTAAACCAAGGTATACATTTAGACGAACAATCAGGTTTTACTGCTGAGAGATGATTACAGAGTAGAATTTTAGGTATCGTAGAAGAGTTAAGGCTCACTACAGCAGCGTCTAATCGACCTGCACTTGTAATATTTGTCGATTTCGCGACAGCGTTCGATCGTTTATGGTGGCCTGCTCTCTTAAGAACACTAGAGAAGCTAGAAATGCCTTTAGAATTAAGAAAGTGGATTTATAACTGGCTTCATAATAGAAAAATGTACGTTAGTCATGGAGAGAAAAGATCGAGATTATTCGATATTTTATTAGGCGCTCCACAAGGTGGCGTTCTAGCAGCACTGCTATTTCGCCTTCACATCCACTTTCTACCTTCTTATTTTCCACAAATTTTAAGTCATCTATTTGCTGATGATTTAACGTCAATAATTCAAGGAGCATTAAAAAGAAATTGAGAGCGAATACAAAATACCTGGAAAAGCAAGGAAATGTTTTTCTAAAACATCTGCTTTTGAAAAATTTGCCGAGGATTATATTCTTCCGGTAAATGTTTCAAAGACAAAAGCTATGATAGTTCACAACGCGGTAACCGTAGGAAAACCTGAGCTTAAGTTTAAGAAAGTTGAGACTGAGTATGTAAATTTTTATAAATGCCTAGGTGTTGAAATAATAGGAATTTTTTCAAAAGTCGCTTCCGCTTGTAAAACGTTCTGCTCAAGTCTTGGCTATTGAACAGCGAAAATCGCAGGTCTCTATCTCATTCCTATCAAAAGTTATTCAAAAACTGCCCACGGGTCTTGTATTTTCGGATGGATAGTAATTGCTCATCTAATTTTTCATAAGGGCGTACACGTAATTTTTGTAACCCTTCAAGAAGTAATAAACCACCATATTCAGCTACATCTTTAACATCTGATACTTCTTTCTCGTTTAAAATAAGGTTCAGCTAATGCAAAATTTTTGTTTTGACTTTATTATACATATTCAGATGCAGTTTAACGAGCTGATTACGAATAACACCTTCCGAACCTCCAAAAGTCATTTCTTCGTGGAGTAAAACTCAAATTACTGAGAAGACTTCAAAA